AGAATTAATGAAAGCATATACATCAACCATCTTTAACACCCCCCCCCCCCCCCCCCCTTTTCCATATAGTTTGGAATAACAACATCTTTTTTAATCTTCTGACATCTACCATTCCACAAAAAATAAAAAAATAAAATAATGAGTTTAAAAGAGTGATATTTTTTTCTGGTGGATTTGGCAAAGTAATAAACAAATAGTTCAGTTGTGAAATCAACAGTGACTTAATAATATTAATCTTTCCTACTGGATTAAGGTTTCTTCTCTTCCATGTATCAATCATTACCTTAAGTTTTACAATTTTATTATCAAAATTCAGGAATTTGGCTTAAATCTACAGAAAAGTCTATACCTAAAACAGTGAACTTATCTCTTACCCACTGTAAATTTGCTTCTGGCATAAAAGTATCTTCACTATATTTCATACTTCCTATCGATATAACCTGTGTTTTACTAGTATTAATATTCAAACCAGATATTTTTGCATAATTATTTAATTTAAAGATATACTCTTTCGAAGACCCCTCTGACCCATCCAATATCAACCCAGTGTCATCTGCATACTACACATTTGAAATGGCGGAATTCTCAACATTGATACCATGAATGAGGTTATTGTTTTTTTTAATTTTTGCTGCTAAAACTTTAGCACAGAGTATAAAAATATATGGTGCGAAAGGATCACCTTGACGACATCCACGTTCAATAACGTTCAATATTAATATGTTGAGAAATATTGCCCCCCCCCCCCCCTGATTAACAGATGCACTTACATTATTATGAAAAGTTTTACCCATTTTCTTGCATCTTCCCCAAAGTTAAAATAGCCAAGTACTTTATCTATTAATACCCATGAAACTGAATCGAAAGCTTTTTCAAAATCTATCGACATTAACATTCCTGGGATGTTGTGATCCTCTGCATACTTCATCAGATCATATACTGTACGAATATTTTCCCCAATGTACCGCCCCGATTAAAATCCTGTCTGGTCTTCATTGATAATGATTCCCAATACTGTTTTAAAACGACGTGAAATTACCCCAGATGCTATTTTACATGTAATATTTAAAAGTGTAATGAGTCTCCAATTTTTCAAAAAAATGACGTGATTTATCTCCCTTGGGGACACAAGTTATTACACCATGTCTTTGAGTAACTGAAAGCTGACCAATTGAAAAACCATAATTTATGGAACGAACAACAAAAGTACTTACATTTTTCCAAAATTCTTTCTTTAAGAGTTTTTCCTGCTTCATAAAATATTACTCTACCCTCTAAGCTGTGAGATTCATCGTTACTTAGTTTTGGAACATTGCGATTCTAAATCAATGCTAACAACCTCCCTAAATCTATATAAATTTTCATAAACAGATTTTCCTTCCCTTAAAATATTTTCTTGCTTTGAAATAATATCGTTGTTTTCTTTCTGAATTTTGGGAATCATTTTAGAAATATAGTTTCTATTTTCAAGATTGAAAAAGTAAGATGTTGGTTGTTCTCCTTTTTCTACCCATTTTGCCCTGGGTCTAATGATACTTCCACTAATTCTCTCCAAACGAATAGATTCTAATTCACTTTTCTTCTCCCTTAATTGCTCCAGGTCTGGGTTTGTTTCAGCTTCTATTACTGATATGGATTTTTTAATCTCTTCCTCCCTGAGTTTTGTTTGTTTTTTCCTGTACGATGAGTATGAAATAGACCTACCACTTATTTCCATTAATAAAGTCTCCAAAAAAGCTGATAATTTATTATAAACTGTATATCTTTATCAGGGATAATTTTAATGGAATCAAAAATTATATTCAGGCAAATAATATATGTTTCCATAGACCTTTACCTTTTTTAAATTCATTCAGTTTCAAAGTAATAATGAGGGCAGAATGATCTGATCTATAGCCAGGTTCAATACTACAGTTATTTATACTTGATAAAAGGTTCTATGAAACAAGAAAACAAATCTAATCTAGCCTGTTTGATAGGGTTACTTCTACGTACGCCAAGTGAATCTCCTGCTATTCGGATGATATTCCCTGTAGATGTCAATAAAATGATAATTTCTAATTCTAAAACCTTATCTCTAGCCGTACTATTATTAACATTCCTGTAACTATTATCATAATCCAAATCTGGATCCAGAACTAAATTAAAATACCCACAAATTATTATGTTATCATTTCCAAAACTATCAACTGTATCTGTAATTTGATCATAAAAGTCAGGATTATCTTGGTTTGGGCCATAAAGAGAGATTAGTATTGTCCTGGAACCCTCAATGTCAATATCCAGAGCAAGGGAATTCCCATTCAGGTCTTTCTTTTCTTTATGTACTTTGCTTTCAAAACTATAATTTAAAAGAATGACAACACCCCATGAGTTAGATTTAAACAAAATGTTTTAGTAATGTTCCTTATGACTGCAAAACTATTTGAAAATTCGTATTTATACCATTCATCATTTGGAATTCATAGCATGTTCGAATTTGAACCATGGACCATTAGACAGTCTGATGTATAGTATTGTATAATAACAATAAATCTAATAACTTCCAGGTCCAATACGACAGCTCTTTTTCTGGTATTCTCTCGAAGCAATCTCCACTTATATTCTATATACCGACGTTTCTAAGGTGCAGGAGATAGCAGCTTGTGTTGTGGGTAATATATCTTCTTCCTGCCTTTTACCATGTAATGCCACTATTTTTCTCAGCTGAAGCGATTGAAATTGATCTGTCTCTAGATAAAAATGAAAACAATAGCATCAGAAAACCTTTTTTTGCTTTGACTGGTTGTCCTTACTAGAAAGTATTAATAATCATAAAAGGGGTGATGTAGCAACCCTTAACTTACAACCGGAATTCATTATAAACTGCCTTACTCTGATTTTAAACCTTCCATAGAAAACGTTATTTTCAGTTCAACCTTATATGGGTTCATGCGTAACAAGTAGAGGCGACCGAAACAGTAAGTTGTCCTCGCACGACTAGACATATACCTTACCTACATTGCTGTCCTCGTACGACTAGACATATACCTTACCTACATTGCTGTCCTTGCACGACTAGACATATACCTTACCTATATTGCTGTCCTCGCACGACTAGACATATACCTTACCTACATTGCACATGCTTACATTTTATGAAATGAAAATTATTGTCATGCTTTCGAATAATCATTTACAGTCAAACATTTTGTGATCGAATGCGCATATTTAAAACAAATGCGTATAAACTTTTAAAATGTAAAATCTATGAAAAAGTGATATAATACAATATCTGTACCATTTATGTATAATTATTGACGTTCGATAAATTTATACGAAATGCAATGATATTTTATTTTATTACCAATTCGTTTCTTATCGATGTTTTTTGCTTTAAACATTGGAACCTCTCATTTTAAGTAGCAGTATGACTTTTTGTGAACGTTCTAGTGTTATAGCCATAAAGGACTTAAATTGACAATGGACCGTACAACAATACAAAAGAACAAAAACAATAAAAGAAATCCAAACCATTTGACATATTAAAGTCTCCTTGCCGCAATTTGTCGGAAAAAAACCTGCGGGTAAAATTGCATAAGTCAAACGATGTCACGAGAGCAGAATCCAAATAATAGCGACTATATCTTTTACCGAGGCAGAGGTAATGTTTACACAATAAACGTGCTGAGTATTACTCTTAGTCAATTCAGTTCTCGTCTTTCAAGTTAAAGCTTCGAAACACTTAGTAATGGACAAACCCTTTGTCATCCGAAAGTGCATTCAATTTGCGTGAGGATTCATTGATGTACACTTTTGCTTTACGGTGTTATCGATTAGCCTCCAACCTTTACCCTTTTCTCACCGGTTCTGTGTTCCTGCTTGGTCGACCACATTTTAGCATGGGCATCGCCATTGCATCGTACGTATCTGCGTATGCATTGTATAATGTAAAAATCGAATTATTTAGAGCACGTAAGAAAATGAAATTAAAGTGTTTTTTAATTGTATATCTTTGACACGTTTTATTTCCTGAGTGTGGTATTAACAGAAAGTTAACATTTTTTGCTACGTAATAAAATAAAAAAAATCAGGAAATATCAACCTGTCTGTACGTTATCAAAACTGACGTGCTTTCCAACTATAATATCCCAGAGTTTATTATAATGATTCACAGTATCTCGTATCTCCAGTGACCTACATACCTTCCTTATCGACGGGTACCACACGTGGTTGAGGGAACGACTAGTTTTTGTGGATGTCTATGGTAGGTTATAGTTTGGTTTCATGTTTCAATTTATGTGGTGTATGTTTATCTTGTGTGACTTACACGTCGTTTCCACATGATTCTGTCCTTTGTAGGAGCACATAATTCTACACAAACAATTACGTGTATCACCAAACATGGCAACCGCTGTTATGTCAGTACAACCAAAACAATTTGTATTGTTAAATTCTTACGAAAATATATAATTCCTAATTTTTCCATAGCCCTCATGGGATACCTTTTAATTTCTAAATTTTCAGAACAGTTTACATATGAGAAAAACGTGGAAGATATTTCAATAACAATTTAATTTAAGGTCAATGAAAATGAAACAAAGCTCGGGAAGAACATGTCTCATTTACAAATACTGGTCTGTAATTTCGGACTTTTCATCTTATCCACATCTTACACACAACTTGTGATTGAAGATCAATTAGCAAAATTATAATCTGTCCTTAACCCGCTGCAATTTCGTTTTAGTCGCCTTTATTCAATGATAAAAGACACTGAATGAGGCGTCTTCTTTGATGTCGATCAACTGTTTTCGAGTCTCTGACTTTAACTGCCTTTTAGTAATATTTACCACATATCTATGTTAAGCATAGATTTCCCCTTTTCTATCAATATAAACATTTAAACACATCTTTTCTAATAATGATCCGCAACAAAGTAATACAAATACCTAAATAGTAAAAATGAGTTTGATTTAGTTTTAAAATAAAGAGGATTTTAGTAGATGAAATACAAATATCTGTCAATTCACAATGGCTGGTGTGGTTGTTGGTGTAGTTGTAGGGGTTGTGGTTGGTGTTGGAGTAGTTGTTGGTGTAGTTGTAGGGGGTGGGGGTGGCGTTGGAGAAGTTGTTGGTGTAGTTGTAGGGGTTGTGGTTGGGGTTGGAGTAGTTGTTGGTGTAGTTGTAGGCGTTGTGGTTGGTGTTGGAGTAGTTGTTGGTGTATTTGTAGGGGTTGTGGTTGGTGTTGGAGTAGGTGTTGGTGTAGTTGTAGGGGTTGTGGTTGGGTTTGGGGTAGTTGTTGGTGTAGTTGTAGGGGTTGTGGGTGGTGTTGGAGGAGTTGTTGGTGTAGTTGTAGGGGTTGTGGTTGGGGTTGGAGTAGTTGTTGGTGTAGTTGTAGGGGTTGTGGGTGGTGGTGGAGTAGTTGTTGGTGTAGTTGTAGGGGTTGGGGTTGGTGTTGGAGAAGTTGTTGGTGTGGTTGTAGGGGTTGTGGTTGGTGTTGGAGTAGGTGTTGGTGTAGTTGTAGGGGTTGTGGTTGCTGTTGGAGTAGTTGTTGGTGTAGTTGTAGGCGTTGTGGTTGGTGTTGGAGTAGTTGTTGGTGTATTTGTAGGGGTTGTGGTTGGTGTTGGAGTAGGTGTTGGTGTAGTTGTAGGGGTTGTGGTTGGGTTTGGGGTAGTTGTTGGTGTAGTTGTAGGGGTTGTTGTTGGTGTTGGAGTAGTTGTTGGTGTAGTTCTAGGGGTTGTGGTTGGTGTTGGAGTAGTTGTTGGTGTATTTGTAGGGGTTGTGGTTGGTGTTGGAGTAGTTGTTGGTGTAGTTCTAGGGGTTGTGGTTGGTGTTGGAGTAGTTGTTGGGGTAGTTGTAGGGGTTGTGGTTGGTGTTGGGGTAGTTGTTGGTGTAGTTGTAGGGGTTGTGGGTGGTGTTGGAGGAGTTGTTGGTGTAGTTGTAGGGGTTGTTGTTGGTGTTGGAGTAGTTGTTGGTGTAGTTCTAGGGGTTGTGGTTGGTGTTGGAGTAGTTGTTGGGGTAGTTGTAGGGGTTGTGGTTGGTGTTGGAGGAGTTGTTGGTGTAGTTGTAGGGGTTGTGGTTGGTGTTGGGGTAGTTGTTGGTGTAGTTGTAGGGGTTGTGGGTGGTGTTGGAGGAGTTGTTGGTGTAGTTGTAGGGGTTGTGGGTGGTGGTGGAGTAGTTGTTGGTGTAGTTGTAGGGGGTGTGGGTGGTGTTGGAGTAGTTGTTGGGGTAGTTGTAGGGGTTGTGGTTGGTGTTGGAGTAGTTGTTGGTGTAGTTGTAGGAGTTTTTGGAGAAGTTGGAGTAGTTGTTGAAGAAGTTGAAGGTTTCGTTGGCGTAGTTGTAGGTGTTGTGGTTGTGGTCGGGGTAAATTTAGTTGAAGGAGACGTTGGCGTAGTTGTAGAGGTTGTGGTTGTAGTTGTAGAAGAAGTTGCAGATATAGGAGTTGAGGTTGTTGTTGGGGAAGTTGTAGTTGTAGTATTTGTTTGAGAAGTTGTTGGTTTGGTTGGAGTAGTTGTAGGAGTTAAAGTTGTTTGAGTTGTGGTTGTAGATGGAGTAGTTGAAGAAGTTGTGGGAGAAGTTGTAGGGGTTGTTGGTTTTGTTGAAGGTGTTGTGTCTGTTGTTGGAGTAGTTGTAGGGGTTGTTGGTTTTGTTGAAGGTGTTGTGTCTGTTGTTGGAGTAGTTGTAGAATTCTTACTTGAATGAGTTGTGATGGGCGTAGTTGAAGTAGCTCTAGTTGAAGGAGATATGATTGTAGTTTCAGAAGTTGAATTGGGCGAAGTTGTAGGAACTTCGGTGACAGCGAGTGTCCCGGAATTGTTGACGCTCGTTGTGCGTGTATTGGGATTGGCTGCAGCCGTAGTAGTGGTATTCGATGTTGTTATAGATGTGGGGGATAAGGTCGAAGTAGTTTGAAGTGTATCTGGGGCAACCATTGATTCCCACTCGAGACAGGGTATCCTGATGGAGATGTCATGTTTGGGTACAGATCTCCCGGTTGGATTACATCCAAGGTGCCCAGTCCTCCAAGCTTCGGAGACAGAACGCAGGGTGCTACCAGCCTTGTAGTACTCCACACTGACGTCCGATACACTCATCAAAGGGTTAATGCTTTCTAAATTGGACGTGACTTTAAAGTAGCTTAGTGAGAATGAAGGTGTCGCCGCAGTAAAGAAACAACTTCCAGTGTTTGTGAGGGATGCCACTCCATAGTTGTAGTAAATGTCCCCAAGTGGTTTGAAGTTACTCGGAGTTTCGTAAATGAATTTAAACACAATAGATGTCAAGGAAGAGTTCAACTGAAGATCAGAAGAACATGTCGTCAGCACAGATAAAGGCGATTGTGTGGAATAGCAGAAAGATGATTCCGCAGATGTTACGTTACTAAGGGACACAGACTGAATCCAAAGTCGCGTGTTCGGGTTCGAATCAAAGGTTATACGGACCATGAACGTTTGTGATTGAAAAGATATTATGTTGTTCAAATTAAGCAGTGTAACCCATTCATCGGTATTCATGTTAACAACATCCGGTTGACCGGAGTCAAAGTTCATGTAAATCCCAGATCCCTTCAAATAATTAATGCCGTTGTGCTTTCCGTAACTGAAATCAAGAGGACTTGATATTTGAATCACATTTTGCGAGTCTGTGAAATAGTTTCCAAGAACTAACACCACCAGGGAACCAATCAGCATAATAACTAGACCAATAACACGCGGGATCGTCAGCCATTTAGAAGATTGTTTTTTATTAAATTTAGTTACTGTGGTATGTGTTTTGTTATAGGTGTGCTTAGATATAATGATACCTACATTTACGAGAACCTCAAGAAGAGTGGACACAACCTTGACCAACAGTATCACGGTGACCGCGGTATCTCGACATCCCGCTATGTACACACTCATCAGTATCATGGGGACGTCTTTGATCCATAAGGATACCAGGTTGATCTTGTCAAGGAGACCAGAGGGAAGTAAATCATCTTTAGCGGCACATATATCCAAGAGGTTCAAAACAAGCTCAGCAATATATGTCACAGACGCGACACAACAGAAAAGAATGAAAAATACCAACAAAGTATCTGAGAATGGTCCAAACACGAGGCCTTGTTCTATTCCAATCACCTCATAATACAGCAACCAATCCGTGATCAGATCAAAGGTCGAGATTAAAAGTTTGATCGAGAATGAAATGAACGTTGACTTCATTATTGTTATCAAGTGTCGGGAAATGTTATTGTTTTTTAACCATACCACTTAATAATCGATTCCAAACAATTGTGGTTCTGACCTAGACATGACTGTCGCAAAACTCACGGTTATTTTGTAATATGTCACATGACTCAACTTGCTGATAGTGTCTATAACGACATGTGATATGATGAAAAATGAAAAGGATGCATTAGACCCATTAAGAAAATCGCTTTGTTAAATGGGATACGGCTGATCCGCAGGCAACGAATCACTTTACACAATTAAACAGTGTGGTCAGCTACAGGAAGGTGTGAAGTTAATTGACAACAAGGACACTCAAAGTGATCGTTAAAATTCAAACTTCAAACTGATTGTTATCAGATAGATATATACATGTAGTATATATAATAATAATAGCGACAGTGCAAGCAAGGGAACTGACAAGCTTTCGAGGTAATCCGCCCCCTTAGCAACACAAACAAATTATATATCACAACAGTTACCATGAATCAGTTCTATAACATTTAATCACTTATAACGGAATTGATATACTGATATTAAAGCATAATTAACCCTTCTGCCTCCCAGTAGCCGAAGGCTATTTTTAGTGCAAAAATATCTGTAATCATTATCGTGAGATCGTGTACTCGGGTGAATAAATAAAAACGGTGAATAAATCTACTAACTGCTTGTACTGCCATGGTCGGCACACTCGAATGTCTGGGCACTTGCAGGTCCAGGCGCTTATTCGTGATGGTTGTTAATTATTCGATTAAGTAGCGTTTCAGTCTCCCCAACATACTTCCTTCATCACCTAGCACAAATGGTCAGGTACTCCACATTGGTTGATTTTCAGGACCCTGGCTAAAGTCTGTTGACCTCACATTTTAACGTGTTGGTGGTGCTGATGAACGGACAGAGTTTGTACATCTTGCTTTTACATGTCATGAAACGACAGTAGCAGTAGATGGGGTATTGGAAGCTTGCTGCTGATTACCAGAGCATGTATAATAAAAATAATAATAATTCGAGGTTCTTATATACCGCTTTATCACCACCCAGTTGGTAGGAAATCGTCTCAAAGCGTTTCACAAATTATAGACATTTTTTCCACGGTAATTAAGCAGTGAAGGTTCTGGAATGGTGAATGTGTACCGAACGTTAATATTTGCCCGTGCGTCCGAAATCTATTCGACAGATATGATATATTTGGATGGAAGGTAACCACACTGTCTCTGTTTTAGGTCCGACTTTGTGTTGTAATATACTACTTCCTCAATGTTCTTTACTCTGTCGATTTCATGATCAATCTGAACAGCTGTTTCTACCTTGAAGAGTAGGTTGTACCTTCGCTCCGAACATAGCACAAGACGACGACGTCATCTCAGAGTTGGGTTATGCTTTTGCAGTGTTTGGTGGGTGACAACTTGAGGTGGGGGTATTCATGGGTGTCGGTGGGCTTGCAATATATATGATATATGCATATTTTGCCGTTGGTGAATGTGGAGCAGGTGTCCAAAAAATGTATTTTGCTATAGAAATTTGGGTCTTGTGTGTGAAACCTGTTCGCAATATCAATGGAATTATCAATGGTAGGTTACTTTCCAAATGATCCATAGATATATTGGCGAATGCTGGTGCCATCCTGATGCACATGACCGCACCACTGATTTGAAGGCATTGTTCCCCTTTCCCATTGAATTTTGTAATTGTTCAGTATGAAAACAAGACTCAACAGTACTAAAGGGCTATCTTAGGAAGGATGCTAGATTGCCCGTATGTCCAACGAAGTCCGACGGGCTAATTATAAGATGCCGTCCTCCTGTGGGATATTGAAGTAAGGAAGAAGACAACATCCAAATTTACCAAGAATGTATCATCGGTACTATAACTAAGAAGGATATATATATTCATTTCCTGTAGGAAGCCGTATTAAGTGAGGTGTGCCCTAACTGATATCTCCTCGATTGCTCTCACAATATGTTTCCTATTGTCTTTGGATTTATGACAAATGTATTATTGTATATATGTATGTAAACGAATATGTAATTTAAAGTCAATCCTACCTCTGTACGGCAGCTCATTTCAGTTAATGTCATTATGAACACATCTTAGTATATCTTTAGCTATGTAAGCTTTCATTTTGAAAAAAATAATAATTGAAAATCAAAAATCTAATTTATGTGTCCACACGGAAACAACATATGCAATTACATATTACAGAACGATTTACATCAACTTGAGATGACCTATACGTTTTGTGACTGTTATATTGCCTATTGTTCTAGTTTGTATTTTACCATAATTGTATCATTTTAGAGTGCTTGGTATCAAGGTATATAATGAAGTCAAAGTTCTTCGTATTAACGCTCACACTTTTAACCTCGACCTTTGATCTGGTCACGGATTGGCTGCCGTACTACGAGGTGAGTAGGATAAAACAACGTCTAGTGTTTGGCCCGTTCTCGGATGCTCTTTTGGGTTTTCTCATCCTGTTCTGTTGTATTGGGACTGTGACATATATCGCTGAGCTAGTTTTGAATCTCTTGGATATATGTGACAACATCAACCTGGTTCCCTGTGGATCGAGGACGTCCCTCTGGTCTGCCTGACAACATCAACCTGGTATCCCTGTGGATCGAGGACGTCCCTCTGGTCTCCCTGACAACATCAACCTGGTATCCCTGTGGATCGAGGACGTCCCTCTGGTCTCCCTGACAACATCAACCTGGTATCCCTGTGGATCGAGGACGTCCCTCTGGTCTCCCTGACAACATCAACCTGGTATCCCTGTGGATCGAGGACGTCCCTCTGGTCTCCCTGACAACATCAACCTGGTATCCCTGTGGATCGAGGACGTCCCTCTGGTCTCCCTGACAACATCAACCTGGTATCCCTGTGGATCGAGGACGTCCCTCTGGTCTCCCTGACAACATCAACCTGGTATCCCTGTGGATCGAGGACGTCCCTCTGGTCTCCCTGACAACATCAACCTGGTATCCCTGTGGATCGAGGACCGCGGTCACCGTGATACTGTTGGTCAAGGGGTTTTCCACTATTCTGGAAGTGTTTGTGAACGTAGTTGCATTCATCGTTAAACAGAAAAATAACAAAACACATAACGAGATAACGATTGCTATTGGCCTTTTTATTATGCTAATAGGCTTCTTGTTTTTAGCCTTGTGAAATATATTACTGACTCAAATAATGTAATTCAACTGTCGTCTCCCGTTGCTTTAAGCTTTGGACATTACAACGCCGTAAATTACGTAGATGGGTCTGGGGTGTACATAAACTTTGACCCTGGTCAAACTAGCGTTGTTACCATGAATACCGACGAATACATAAAACTAGCGGATTTGACAAACATCACCTTCAGTCAGGAATGTTTATTGTAAGTGTAACATACGATTCCAACCCGAACTCGCGACTTTGGATCCAGTCGACGTCCTCTAGTGATGTAACGTCACCGGAATCATCTACTTGCTATTCCACACAATCCTCGCCTCTGTCAGTACTAACCACGTGCTCTACAGACATTCCGTTGACCTCTACCACCACAACTATTGTGTTTAAATCTGTGTATGAATCCCCGAGTAGTCGAAAACCACTTGGCGACATATTATACAACTATATACTTGCTTCCTTCAGCGGCACCGGAAGTACCATGGCAGCACCTTCATTCTTATTGATCTGCTTTAAGGCCACATCTAATGTTAACCACTTAAACACCCTGGTCACCTTTTAGTTTAAACTTTGTTTTATTCACATAACATATGTAATACATAATACAAATATGATTATACATAAATGAATTGGAGACAGAAACAAGTGTTAATACACTAGTATAAATATGTTACCTTTCATCATAACCAACATATCAACTATATCTTAGGGATAGTGACGTGGATAAATTACAGGGGAAGTTAGAAGAGAGTTGGGGAAATGCAGTGTAAAATATGGTACATGTACAAAATACGTTATATTCATAAAATCAGTGTTTTGTGGTCAAGAAAAATCCTCCTGTTGCGTAATCGTTAAAACACTTTATGATTGATTTTCATACTGATTCAAGAAAGGGATATATATGCATATAGGTAAGATCTAAATAAACGAGCTGCATTATAATGCTAATAAAAAATATACTCTATGATACTCATTATCATATGGATTTCCCCCTACGCAGACAGTCGTTGTGATAGACTGTTCACATTCCATACACTATTGCTGATCAATTGTTCGTCACATCCCGTGCCTTAATACGCCAGTCATTCTCCTGTTCACTCTTGTCCTCATGGTATCGGGAAAGACCATCCACATGACTTACTTTACATATGATATATGTTATAATATGAATACAAAGGTCATTGATTAAGAATCTTATTCAAAGACGTCATAAGATCATAAATCAGAAGTCAATTGATCTATTTTTATGTTAGCAACTCAGCTATTTCATTTTACATATGATCGCACAAAAACATCCATGTATGCATCCAAACACATATCATAAACACATATATCTACAATATCATACATACATTATATTTACTTGCGCACATTCGTGTGCATGGCTGCATGCATAGTCATGCACCCACGTACGTAAATGTATGCACTCCTACACACACGCTCCCACATGCATGAATACAAACATAGATGCATGCGTACATACATACATACATACATGCATACGTGCATGGTTGGGGCTACTCAGAATCCAATTTTTATCAAACAACATGTATACATTAATAACAATATCATCATAATGGTACCGCATGCGCATAGAGGGGATCTAACAATGTTTTTCCTATAAAAATGTTCATTAAGAGAGCTGCATGACATGCGTAGTCTAGCATGGTATATTTGTAGTAAACGTGAGCCATATGAGCAGTGTTTTATGTTGTTGCGTTTAATATGTGATTTAAATTGATAAATGGAAGGGTTTCTCCTGACTTTAACTGGAATAGAGTTTCAGCTATTGATAACAGAGGGCAAGAAAGTTCTTGGATACACATTAGAATGGCAATGAATGGGAGCGATAGTTGTAACATCCGAATGTCTAGTATTATGGCTATGTATTCCAGTGACTGATTGTGGTACAAGACGGTTGAGATATTGGGGGGTATTTTGGTAGAACATTTTGTGGAAAATAATTAGTTTGTGTTGATGTCTACGTTCAATTAGTTTGTTCCAGCCTACTTCTATATACTGTTCGTCTATGCTTGTCAGTTTGGTTGCACCAGATACAATCCTAGCTGCCTCAGTATTAATTGGTTCCAGTTTAGCACTATATTCATCGGTTATATTATCCCACACTACGTCAGCATATTCAATAATAGGTCTGATAAATGAAAAGTAAATAGAATGTAATGTGTTTCGGTCGAGTTTGAATTTTAGAGAACGTAGAATATTTATTCTGACTGAGGTTTTATTAATAATGTAGTTTACATGTTTGACCCAACTCCCGTCATTTGAAAAAAATACTCCTAGGTGCTTGTGTACTTCGACATTTGTTATTTCTTCATTATTCATGTACAATAGTTGGTGATAAGGTCTTGGTTGTTTTTCACTAATTAACATACTTTCGGGTTTTTTAGGATTGAAGCTTACCAACCACGATTTCGACCAGTTTGTTAGTGTTTGTAGATCTGCCTGAAGAGCGGTTCCTGTAGTGGTTGGGTTATCGACAATCATGTATAGTGATGTATCGTCTGAAAATAATTTAATAACATAATTTATGTTGTTAACGATATCGTTTATGTAGATAAGAAATAGAAGCGGGCCGAGAATTGACCCTTGAGGGACCCTGCTTTGACTTCAACCCAATCAGAATGTGCATTATTAGATTCAATGTCATTTTATGGTAAATAGGAAGGATTTTAAATTTCCATTTTTTAGTTTATAACTTAAATGGATCGGAGGCAACTCTATTTGCAAAGTCTCAATTAAAGTCATTAAAACCATACGCTCGATCTTAAACATCGATCCATTAGCAGATATAACGGCATCGAGCTTTTGTCCCGTTCCTCAAATACGATTTTTGGAAATATGTTGATATAGCATGTTAATGACATATCTTAACCCTATAAGTAAGAGTTATTTCCCTTTGATGGCATGGTTGTATCTCTTGAAGTAATGACGGTTATGGACAAATATACATGTATCTTTTAATATGACATATTGGTGTCTAAATATTTGGTAAATAATCTTTTAGGGGGCTTTTTGGTGTCTTTAAGATACACAAATACTTCTACATCTTATTTCTGCAGAACTGCAAAAACATTAAGAAATACATTTGTAAGAATAATGCAATGTATTTCTTTTCTAAAAGCTACACAGCTATATAAGAGTTGTTTTTAAGATATATAATCTTAGTTTAACGGCGAAATGTTGAAATAGAGAATTTATTATAAGCTTTGATTTTTTTTAAAATATCATTTTCACCAAAGAAATCGTGTTATTTCTTAAAACGTACAATAATAATTTTCCTTTCCATTTATATTCATGTACTTTGCCAGTAACGTTTTATATCTTTATAAATACAGTTATGGACACGTTTTGTTTCTCAAAATCATCTTTACGGTTACGTTTAATTTCCGTAAATAAGTCGAAAAATGTATTCAAATGTCCTCCAATTTTGTCGATTAACTATCCGACCAATTTTTTTAGCATGGCTGCATTTTCATTTTCTTTCGGTTAGAAACGTGGTATAATTCGAGTGTTGTTGGAGGGGCTTTACATGATAAAACCATATTTCCATCCTTATCCAATCAAAACGTGCATTTCATATACAATGATATATACACAACAATCATATACACATTCTTGGCGCTTTAAGTGAATATAGTGGAAAATTTTATGTGGAAGATAGAATTACATATATTATAAAAGCACATATCACACACATACTAATCGGACAGACAAAGCTTTATTACAAAATTACATATGAAAAATAAACTCCAGAAACAGGAGAGAAGAGATATAAATGGAAAATGAAAGAAGAAATCCTTTCCACAAATCATATGGTTCCGCTATAAGAAAAAAAGAATCTTCAATCGAAAACATACGGACCCGCAATTAAGACGGTATTGGTAAGGTACACATTTTTCCTAGCCAATTGGACCTGGATGACTATTATCACCATTCGGACGCGATGATGTCATAGTGGTAGCGATTGCAGTGGAAGAGGTTTTAATGGAAGATAATGGGGTTGCCATGGTGGAGCTTGTAGCAGTCATAGTAGGGGTTGTGGTAGTTAGAACCATAGACGTAGTTACCTCCGGAGTCCAGGTTAGACAGGGTACACTGACGTAGGTATCCTGGTGTGGTGAGGTTCTCCCCGCGGGACCTCCACGCTTCAAATGCGCTCTCTAAGTTATTGCCGGTTTTGTAGTACTCCCCACTGCCCGTAGAAAAGGTGACCAAGATTATCAAAAGCAATGCAGATAACAAACAACGTTTCTGAAATACCATACAGGAAACTCCCCCCTCACCAAGCTATACTACATGTAGTGCTTGTGCTAACAACGTACATCCTAATACATATGTCCCTGTGTTTGTTACAATGTGGTGATTTTGAATTAAATCCCGGCCCTTCAAACTCTACATCATCCAATTCATCTCTCTCTTCCGATTCTAGTTCATTCACTCTATTTCAAAAGACTCTTTCATTAGTACATCTAAACGTCCAAAGTGTTTACGTCCTAAACTAGATGTGCTATACACTGAACTCAACTCCCATAGCATACTAGCATTCACAGAGACATACCTAACAGACTCCGACATAAACTCATCTATAAACATCCCGGGTTTTCAGAATCCAGCCTGCTACTGTCGGAGTGACCACGCAGGAGGGGCGTGGCGGTTTACGTGAAAAAGAATATATTTTTTAAGCGTAGAGTTGATTTGGAAATTAATCAAGTAGAATGAGTGTGGATTGAGTTAGTTACACGTGGAATACATATTCTACTCGGAACATTTTATAGACCTCCAAACTCTAATATTAACTGGTGGGAAAAAATTGAGGAATCTGTCAGAAAGGCTAGTAACACAGGTATAAACAATATAGTTATAACTGGTGATCTAAATGTAAATCAGTAAGCCCGAACCCATAATTCAAATTATCTAGAAAAAATCATGACCGTTTACGGTCTACAGCAATTAATTACAGAGTGTACTCATTATACTGAACACACCTCATCTTTAATTGATATTATTTTAGTAAACAACAACTTCATAATAGACAGATCATACGTAGGAGAATCTTTTCTAGACCAACCGATAAGGTATCACTGTCCAATTTATGCGTCATTAAATATTAAAAAGACCGTATCGGACTGTTACAAAAGGAAGATCTGGTTATATAAATATGGCGATTACAATAAACTGAGAAATTTACTGGCTGAAATCGATTTGTCACTCACCGATATGGCTGACATAGACTCAGTAATTACCTTCCTGAATAATCATATTAATGCTTGTACAACTTCTTCTGTCCCTAGTAAAAACGTCCTTATAAGAAAAAACGACCATCCATGGATGAATCAATAAATACGGCTTATGATATCTAAACGTAAATAAAATCATAAAAAGGCTAAAGTAACTAAAAAATCTTCAGACTGGTTAAAGTTCAGACGGACTCGTAATAGGTGTGTAAATATCATTAGACAATCAAACGTTAAACACTATAACAAGTTATCCACTAAATTAGTCGATCCAGATTTTAAGAGTAACTCCTGGTGGCAGACCGTAAAACTATTTATGCAGGATATGGGTAAATCTGATGAAATACCAACTATTCTTTATGATAATAATTACTATGAGCACAATGTTGATAAAGCAAACGTGTTTAACGAATATTTTTCTAGTCAGTCCTCAGTTGATGACTCTACAACTGATATCCCTCCTCCCATAGAATTTCAAAATCAAAGTAACCTAAATGCAATTCATATATCGAAAACTGATGTCCATGATGGTCTTTCTCACCTTAACAGCAGTAAAACTGTTGGACCTGATTTAATTAGTACCAAAATACTTGAAGAGGTAGTCGTTCCTCTAAGCGAGCCGTTAGCGTCTATTTTCAACAAATCATTATCTGTGGGAATATTACCAAACTTATGGAAAAAAGCAAATATTTTACCTGTTCACAAAAAAGATAGTTGAAACGATGTTAAAAACTACCGACCAATCTCATTACTCTGTATCTTAGGGAAAGTATTTGAAAGGTGTGTGTATAAATACGTATATAATTACCTACTTGACCAACAAATTCTCACCAATAATCAGTCAGATTTTAGATCAGGGGACTCGACTGTCAACCAATTACTCAGCATTTCAAACGACTTTATGAGCGTTATTTTCGGTGACATAAACGAAGCCTTCGTCCGGGTGTGGCATGAGGGTCTTTTGTATAAGTTATCCCAAATAGGTATCGCTGGGTCCCTTCTCAGATGGTTTACAAGTTATTTAACTGATCGAAAACAAAGAATTATAATTAATAATGCACATTCTGATTGGGTTGAATCTAAAGCAGTGGTCCCTCAAGAGTCAGTTATCGGCCCGCTTCCATTTATTATCTACACAAACTATATCGTTAACAACATAAATTCTCTTATTTAATTATTTGCATACGATACATCACTATACATGATTGTCGATAACCCAACCACTACAGGAACCGCTCTTCGGGCAGATCTACAAACACTAACAAACTGGTCGAAATCGTGGTTGGTAAGCTTCAATCCTAAAAAACCCGAAATTATGTTAATTAGTGAAAAACAACATGAATAATGAAAAAATTACAAATGTCGAAGTACACAAACACCTAGGAGTATTTTTTCGAATGACGGGAGTTGGGTCAAACATGTAAACTACATTATTAATAAAGCCTCAGTCAGAATAAATATTCTAGGTTCTCTAAAATTCAAACTCGACCGAAACACATTACAGACTATTTACTTTTCATTTATCAGACCTATTATTGAATATGCTGACGTAGTGTGGGATAATATTACCGATGAATATAGTGCTAAACTGGAACAAATACATACTGAGGCAGCTAGGATTGTATCTGGTGCAACCAAACTGACAAGCATAGACAAACAGTATACAGAAGTAGGCTGGAACAAACTAATTGAACGTACACATCAAAACAAACTAATTATTTTCCACAAAATGTTCTACCAAAATACCCCCATATATCTCAACGGTCTTGTACCACAATCAGCCACTGGAATACATGGCCATAATACTAGACATTTGGATGTTACTATCGCTCCCATTCATTGTCATTCTAATGTGTATCAAAAATCTTTCTTGCCCTCTGTTATCAATAGTTGGAACTCTATTCCAGTTAACGTCAGGAGAAACCCTTCCATTTATCAATTTAAATCACATATTAAACGCAACAACAACAAAGACTACTTATATGGCTCACGTTTAGGACAAATATACCATGCTAGACTACGCATGTCATGCAGCTCTCTTAATGAACATTCATATAGGAAAAACATTGTAAGATCCTCTCTATGCGCATGCGGTACCATCGAAAACACTTCCCATTACCTGCTAGTATGTATGTACTCATGTATGTATGTTTGTATGCATGCATGTGTGAGCGTGTGTGTGTAGGAGTGCATACATTTACGTACGTACATAGCAATGCACACGAATGTGCGCAAGTAAATATAGTTTATGTATGTATGTAGGTGGGTAGGTATGTACTTACGTACGTGTGTCTGTGTATGTATGTATGATAGATACATAAACCAAAACACTATGACTATCATAGAGTTGTCAGATTAATTTTGCAGATTTATACAGTATCTTAGCCATTTCATCTACTTATTCCTCCTGCACTCACTTATTTGATAATTACTTGCATAATTCCTGCAAACCAAAAGAGGCACATGCATTATTCCTGCAAACCAAAAGAGGCGACTAAGTGTGGACCCTCTGTTGTGACTGTTATATCCATCGCAGTATTGAGAGGCGACTAATGAGACATTCCGTAGCATATTGGAGATTTTTCACATTTACCGGGCCAGATTTCCACATGCACATGTTCCACGTTTTTGATATCTCTCGTTGACTCACTTTATATGATAGTGCATCTTGCGCAAGAATAGGTCCTCTACATCAGCGTTCCTTGTCCGCGATGCTCTCAGCTTAATTGCTGCCCTCGGCTGTCTTTAGCCGAGGGGACTATTGGGGACTATTGGTTTTATATAATAGCTATATTTTCAATTATAGTATATCAATTCTATCTTCTTGTAATATGATGTATATTTACATGTAACTGTTCTGTTTCACTGTGTCTTGAAAAAGGAGCGGATCGCTCCGAAAATTTGACAACCTAAACTTGTCCACACTGTTGGAATTACTTCTTTGCCCCATATAATATTTGACAGTAATTCGTATCCTACGGACATACCTCCATTAGGATCCAGTGTTATATGGGATTTTACCGTCTACATTACTTCTTTGACCCATATGTATGATAGATAGATATATGTGTTTATGATATGTGTTTGGATGCATACATGGATGTTTTTGTGCGATCATATGTAAAATGAAATAGCTGAGTTGCTAACATAATAATAGATCAATTGACTTCTGATTTATTATCTTATGACGTCTTTGAATAAGATTCTTAATCAGTGACCTTTGTATTCATATGATAACATATATCATATGTAAAGTAAGTCATGTGGATGGTCTTTCCCGATACCAGGAGGACAAGAGTGAACAGGAGAATGACTGACGTATTAAGGCACGGGATGTGACGAACAATTGATCAGCAATAATAGTGTATGGAATGTGAACAGTCTATCACAACGACTGTCTGCGTAGGGGGGAAATCCATATGATTATGAGTATCATAGAGAATATTTTGTATTAGCATTATAATGCAGCTCGTTTATTTAGATCTTACCTATATGCATATATATACCTTTCTTGAATCAGTATGAAAATCAATCATAAAGTGTTTTAACGATTAAGCAACAGGAGGATTATTCTTGACCACAAAACACTGATTTTATGAATATAACGTATTTTGTACATGTACCATATTTTACACTGCATTTCCCCAACTCTCTTCTAACTTCCCCTGTAATTTATCCACGTCACTATCCCTGAGATATAGTTGATATGTTGGTTATGATGAAAGGTAACATATTTATATTAGTGTATTAACACTTGTTTCTGTCTCCATTTCATTTATGTATAATCATATTTGTATTATGTATTACATATGTTATGTGAATAAAACAAAGTTTAAACTAAAAGGTGACCAGGGTGTTTAAGTGGTTAACATTAGATGTGGCCTTAAAGCAGATCAATAAGAATGAAGGTGCTGCCATGGTACTTCCGGTGCCGCTGAAGGAAGCAAGTATATAGTTGTATAATATGTCGCCAAGTGGTTTTCGACTACTCGGGGATTCATACACAGATTTAAACACAATAGTTGTGGTGGTAGAGGTCAACGGAATGTCTGTAGAGCACGTGGTTAGTACTGACAGAGGCGAAGATTGTGTGGAATAGCAAGTAGATGATTCCGGTGACGTTACATCACTAGAGGACGTCGACTGGATCCAAAGTCGCGAGTTCGGGTTGGAATCGTATGTTACACTTACAATAAACATTCCTGACTGACTCGAGGTGATGTTTGTCAAATCTACTAGTTTTATGTTTTCGTCGGTATTCATGGTAACAACGCTAGTTTGACCAGGGTCAAAGTTTATGTACACCCCAGACCCATCTACGTAATTCACGGCGTTGTAATGTCCAAAGCTTAAAGCAAC